AATTATAATTCTTAATATGATTATCAAATATAAATGAGGATAAAATTGTAAAATGCGAAATAAGAATATATAATCGTACAACAATCGTAGCTTTTTGGTGCGATTTGAGTTATGTACAATTTATTAAAAAGTAATCACATTTAAAAAGTAAATGAATCGCATCGCACCTAAAATGGATTAACATTCTTGGTAAGCAACAATTAGGGTAATCGTATCACACCCAAAACGGAGAGCCATTCGGAGCCTAAAAAGCCTTCTGAATCTTGGCTTTTGCATAATCTGCCTTCAGTTACCACTTCTCAAGTCCCTTCACGTAGATTTCTATTCGATCCCCGAAAGCAGGATCACATAGAAAACTCTAGAAGTGTTACCAATTGGGAAACTATTGTTAAGACTTCCTACATGCACAGAGATCATATCCGATATTCCGAAGTATCTCATGTTTCCACATTGAGAACACACAAGCAAGAATATAAGCTCTATATATATATATAACCTTATCTTTGGTGTTTACTTCATCTTTTGTAGGAACTGGTTACTCATGCATCTCGTCAATGAGAGCTTGAAGCTTCTTGAGATCCAACCTCGTAAGCTTCAGTTCCCATCTCTCTCTCTTGCTTTTGCTCTGCTTTAGTTAGATTTAATCTAGATGAAGAAAACTGAGTTTTTTTTTCCCTAATAATGACATCTTTAGAGACCATCTTTAATTGGTTTTGATCTTTCTGTTAAATACTTTGGCAGATACATAAAGATCGTTTGTTAGTATTGCATAGACCGTGACTTGTCGCTTGATGTCAGTTATAAACCTTTACTGCAAAAACATCGGGCAAGTGGTCATGTTCAACTCGGCCAAAGAAGAGTTAGTCGCGGTTATGGACAAAATAACTCTCAAAGAAACCATTTTGACCAAAGGGATGGGAGCTTCACGTGGTTGGGAAATTTTCTGCAAACCCGCAAGATCGTTATGTACTTATAACCGACTTTATAAACGATCTTGATGACGATGAAGTAATGTCCTCTTCTGCGCCTGATCAAGATGACGATGAAGAGTGTGTAGTTGCTATCAAGTTCTCATGTATCCTACGAGAGATCAAGAGTCTACTTGCCTTCTCCCGGAGGCTCCACATCGAAGAAGAGTTCTATGAGTTGCTGTTTCACAACTTTCCAGAGTCGGTCAAGTCTGACGTTGGAGCTGTTTTTTGTTTTTTGTCAAATCATTTTAAGAGTTCCATGTTTTTTTATCATTTTGATTTTTACTGGCAACTTTTGCAACGTATATATTAAAACGGATTAAAAATCCAAACTAAAATAATTTTTTTGATTATTATGAGATACTAGGTAAAAGACCCGCATATATGCTGGTTTACGATAAAAAATATTTTACAACCCGTGAAAAATTAAACACGAAAAAAAAAATTAAATCACTCATGAGAGTAAACAAAATCTAAAACCTTGATATTAAATATTTTTAACACTTGTTTTTTATCATGATTTTTTGTCTAATTTAATTTCCAATTAAATATGATTACGTCTTTTCAAAATAATTAGTTTCTTTCTATTCATGTTTGAAGTAATATAATTTTTACTATTTTGCTACTCTATTTTTTTTCAAAATCTTGTTGAATTAGTTTCTCATAATCTTATTTAAAATTTTTACTTTTGTAAATATTTTATAACCTGTAAAAAAACACAAAACAAGAAATGTGAAACCACCAATTATTAAATTGTTTTGAATATTTTTCTTATACTATTTTCTTTTGAATTAAAAATTTTAACATATTTCTAAA